TGATCTCTTTCTATTAAACCAACTCAATAGTTGGAGCAGTGGTGTGATCTCTTTTTATTAGACAAAGTAAATAGCTGCAAAAGTTGTTCTTTGCAAGCTTTCAAGTCACACTTCACTTTGGGATTCCCAAACAGCGGCGAGCCCCGTTCCCACCTTCACTGGAGAGCAGTGTGACAGTAGAAAGCAGGCTCTTTGGGGAGATGTGAGCCCCTTTTATCAGACCAACTCAATAGTTGGAGCAATGATACGATCTCTTTTTATTAGATCAACTGGAGCGGTGATGTGATCTCTTTCTGTTAGACCAACTCAATAGTTGGAGCAATGATGCAATTTTTAAAAATCAAACCAACTCAATAGTCGGAGCAATGATACGATCTCTTTTTATTACATCAACTGGAGCAGTGAGGCTATCCCTTTTCATTAGACCAACTAAACAGTTGGAGCAATGATGCGATTTTTTTTTTTTTTTTTATCACACCAAATCAATAGTTGGAGCAATGATACAATCTCTTTTTAATAGATCAACTGGAGCAGTGGTGTGATCTCTTTCTATTAGACCAACTAGCCCGGGGGGGGAGCGCCCGCCCGGCCCCGCTCCGCCCCGCACCTGCTCCCTGCCGACGTGCCAGCGCCTTCTAGCACACCCACTCGCGCGCTGGAGCGGCGATGTGCGCCTTTTTAGCACACCGACTCACTCGTAGGAACAAGGATGCGAGCCCTTTGTATTAGACCAACTCAACAGCTGGAGCAATGATGCGATCTCTTCTAGCAGACCAACTCAATAGTTGGAGCAATGATACGATCTCTTTTTATTAGATCAACTGGAGCAGTGATGTGATCTCTTTCTGTTAGACCAACTCAATAGTTGGAGCAATGATGCAATTTTTAAAAATCAAACCAACTCAATAGTCGGAGCAATGATACGATCTCTTTTTATTACATCAACTGGAGCAGTGAGGCTATCCCTTTTCATTAGACCAACTAAACAGTTGGAGCAATGATGCGATTTTTTTTTTTTTTATCACACCAAATCAATAGTTGGAGCAATGATACAATCTCTTTTTAATAGATCAACCGGAGCAGTGGTGTGATCTCTTTCTATTAGACTAGTTGGAGCAGTGGTGTGATCTCTTTTTATTAGATCAACTGGAGCAGAGATCGTATCATTGCTCCAACTATTGAGTTGGTTTAATAGAAAGAGATCATATCACTGCTCCAGTTGCTCTAATAAAAAGTGATGTGATCTCTTTCTATTAAACCAACTCAATAGTTGGAGCAATGATACGATCTCTGCTCCAGTTGATCTAATAAAAAGAGATCACACCACTGCTCCAACTATTGAGTTGGTTTAATAGAAAGAGATCATATCACTGCTCCAGTTGCTCTAATAAAAAGTGATGTGATCTCTTTCTATTAAACCAACTCAATAGTTGGAGCAGTGGTGTGATCCCTTTTTATTAGGCCAAGTAAATAGCTGCAAAAAAATGTTCTTTGCAAGCTTTCAAGTCACACACCACCTTGTGATTCCCAAACTTTGTGATTCCTGGAATGGGCTTCCAAGAGAGGTGGTGCTTTCAAACAGCAGCAAGCCCCATTCCCACCTTCACTCCGGAGCAGTGTGACAGCAAAAAGCAGGCTTCCTACAGCAGGTTTCACTCAAAGCCTGTCACTCCCCCTCATTTATGGGGACAAATGCTGCAGCACAGAGAGGGGAAATGACTTGCCTGGGCTCACCTAGCAGAGCAGAGAGCGCAGGTCACCTGAGTCGCAGCCCCACGCTGTGCCCTTTAAGCTAAATCACAAAAAGGAAGCTTATAAGAAGTGGAAACTTGGACAAATAACTAGGGAGGAATATAAGAGCGTTCCAACTATTTAGTTGGTCTAATAAAAGATCTACCCAAAGAACCTCGTCTGCCTGTGTCCTTAGACCACCACGGCTACAACCAACAGCCCTTCAAAGGGAAGCGCAGGGGACCAGCCTAAGGGGGTTGCAGGAGCTTTGCTCCCTTCTTGACCCAGAAAAGAAGGGGGGTGACTGTTAAAAGAGAAAAGGAGCTGATTTTAACAAAGACTGGAAGTAGAAAGCAGGCTCCGTGGGTTCCTTTGTGTGAGGCCAGACAGAGAAGCTTTCTCCAAATTGAAGCATTTAATTAAAAAAAAAAAAAAAAGTTTTTACAGAACATGAAAGCTTCAGGCTTGGACTCGCCAGGAGTCAGCAAACGCGGAAGCCAGGGTCCCAGCTGTGTGAACACTACTGCTCACAGGCTGTATAATTTTATGGACATCAAATATATTCCATAAAATGATACAAGATACAAAACGCAGCAGAGTGAATGTGCTTTGAAAAACCTCCACTTGTGCATTTCCTGCCTCTTGCTAAATGAACCCAAATCCAGCAAACACCTAAGCACACGTGGTGCAACTCCACTCACATGAGCCATTTTCTAGATTTCACGGGCTTATGTTTTTCCCAGGACTGGGGTCTCTACAGTAGTTAGAACGGTTTTGAAGGGCAGAGGGTTCTGCATTTAATTGAATGGATTTTTTTTGAAAAATCCCTTAAATCCCTTGAACTTTCAAGATCCTTTAAAAATCCTTAAAGCAAGAGGTGTCACTGAAACAGCATAAGCCTCTAACCACCTCAAATCTTTTAACCAGTATAATTTTTTCCCAATGACTCCAAGCGTATGAAAAAGCAGAGCATTTAAATTGCCACTACCTGGGCTCTGACCCCGCAATCAGGCAAGCCAGCCAAAGCCTCGCTTCTCTGAGGCTCCCTTAGTGCATGTGCTCTTTGAAACACATTTTGACACACCCAAGGCAATTCTGTTGCAGATGATTTTTGTGAGCAACAAAGTCACTGAAATAATTATAGCATTTCAAGAAACCAAAGACAAGCCTTCACTTCATTGGAAGATGTTGGATATTTTCACATTAGAGGTAAAATAAGCTCTAGCGAGCTATTCCTCTACAGTCTCTGTAGTAGTTTCCTGGAAGTTGCTCTGTAAGGGCTCCAAGAGGGAAAGTTAAAAATATCCCCGTCTCCATTGCATGAAGTGTCAGCATTTTCAAGTCATTTTTCCTTAAATTATTCAAGTGAATGTATACTGCGCTGCTCACTCAGAGCCCCTCCCAAACCAGATCCAAGACTCAAGATTGCACTGCAGTAGCAGAAATTATCATTAAAATTCTGCTGATTTGGACACAAAAATGGCAACAGGTGCTGCAGCACTCATCAATTTTTGGAGCTATGAAGAAATGTGTATATATAAATATCTCATGTAATATCCGCCTTATAACAGATCTTGGGGGGTGGGGGTAAACATATTGTTATCCAAACTTCCCTAACAACTCCTTACCTAATTCTCATGAGTGCATTCATTATCTGTGTGCTCCTCCTCTTTACCTAGCATCTGCTTAAATAAGATATTATGTAGCATAGCTGAAGCTATTTGTTCCTTTAGGTTTGGAGTGAATTCAGAGCTGACAGACATTGTCAGATTTATTTAATTAAAAAAAAAAATCCGTCAGGCTTCAGTAGACAAGTGATCCATGGAAGCTGACTAGCAAGGCTCAGAGGAATGAAAACCCCTTGGATAAGTCATTAATTGCATGCCCTAGCAATAGTCACAGAATACTGCAGACTCGCATAGCCAGGGCCTTTTCAGCAATTTCGAGTCATGTTTCTCTATTGTGTGCATCTAACAGTTTCAGTTTGCATCTGTTCTGTTCAGGTTTTTCTACCAAGCCCAGCTCTGTGGCATGCAAGTGCTGTCCTCTTCTTTATTTCTAATGTTCGCACATATAGGACGTTTCATGACCAGAAACTGTCAGGGCTTGGCTCAGCGCTGACGCAGATGGATTGGTACTTCCTAACTCAACCTTCAGATTTGCTTCCTGCAACAGCTGGGTTTCTCTTCTCCTTTCCTGTTCAAGTACTGGGCAAATTAAAGCTGAGAATTAATATTTCCAAGCCAAAAGATGCTTGACATTTGATAGTAGCAATTGCTGGATAAATCTGTGCTGGAAATAAGGAGGTACATATTTTCTGCACCAGACTGTGTCCTCAGAGCAATGCACAATTGCACATCAACACTGACCCATTCACAGCACAGGCTCTGAAGAAACTATAAAACTTGCCTTTGCTTCTGGCAGTAAGATCCTGCAAGTGCTAGAAAAGTGTGAAATGACTCTCGTCTGGATGACCCGCAAGGGCAAACGCTCAGAGGTCTGCAGTTCACTGCCTCCAAAATGCTTTGCTAGCATTTTTGTGTAGTAGTTACACACATTTTTTATGCTGACAGCTTTGGAAAAGAGCTCATTACAACAAGCAATTTTGTTTCCTGCATGCCGAGAAAAAGGGTGCGAACTAAGTCCTATGATACGCCCGCACTACATTAGAAGATGTCAAGAGAGCAGAAAAAACTCCAAGAGCCATTTTGTGCTGTCACAGAAGTGTGGGATGCTAGCTAATGTAGCTAGGATTTGCTAATTCAATGAGTTTATGCACTGAATTCAATTGCAATCCAGTTCTGAATGATCAAGGCTCAAACTCTGGAAGGATTATATGTTTTTAAGCATTAAGAAAGATGACACACCTTGGAGGCATTTATGCTTTCTGTGATGGTAAAACTAGTAACACTATATTATTGTATCATGCCATACAGTAACCTTATGCAGCAGCTCCGATATGGGCTCCAGTGACTCAGAGGCAGACGACATGTGCTGTCTGTTGGCCAAGACCAAGGAAAATATGAGTCTGATTTAAAAATAAAATCTCAGCGTTTCTCAAATCACAGTGCCACGTGACGATCTAAAAAGCAATTCACTAAGAAAATTAAGTGTTTGCTCTTACAACTAATTTATTTGGATTAAATGTTTATAGCTTTGACTTTTTACAAAACAAAGTACAAAAGAAATTTATGGAGGCACTGAAGAGTTGCTCGAACTCCATCTGTAGCTTTTGGCAGAGCTGTGCACGTCTCAGTAGGAAGAACTCGAAATGTAATCAAAGTAGGAATTCACATGGCTAAAAGTCAAAGCAGAACTGGCCTGTCAGAAGGATAGTCTTTCTGAAGCAAAGAGACAAATTCTTTTTTTCTTCCAGTCAGTCAATTTAGTTGAACTAAACAAGAGCCTTTACTGTTTCTTGATCATTAACATCAGAATCAGATGCCATTGCCCTGTTGGAAATAATGGAGCCAGGTTAGATACAGAAAATGGTTGACGCAGTCCTTGAATGCTGGCTGCAGTAACTGCCATTATTGACTGATCACTGACTACTTGAGAACACCCCACTTTTTGCTTTTTTGTCCAATTCTGCAAAGCAAGCAAAAGCCAAAGGGAGCTGTCAACGCCAAGCAGTATTTTTTCATTCCAAACATTTTCTTCTAATGCTTTGCTAAGTCCCAGACCAACAGCTTCATGTTAAAATGGAGTTGTGCAGAGTTGCTCTTTACTATGAACCCAGTTATACAAAGATGCACACTCCGGCTCACCTTGACACACGGCGCACAGTCCCAGCCAGACTACATTGTGTGCATAACAAACTAGATACAGGCCAAAGTCAGGCATGAATCTGGAGGCCAGGAGCCTACATGCAGTGACTTTAAACTTGGAAGGCAAAGGAAGAAGAGGCAAAAGCATTTGTTCAGACATTAAAAGTGCAACTTTCAAAAGCAACTATGTCACTTAGAAGAACCAGGCACGAGACGGGTCAAAGGAATTTGTGCTCCTAACTCAGTTAGGCTCTTGTCTAAGTTTCACCCTACAGCTCTGGGTTTGTGAAATAGCTATTTCCAGAATCTCTGTGAAATGTGCAATCCAATTGATCAGCTTTTCTGTGCCAATGTGAAAAGCAAAATTAGATGCTCACAACCCCAACCCCCCCCCCCCCCCCCCCCCAGAAATATTACAGGCAGCTACTGAGACTCCAAACTGAAATGGAAAGCCTTTTTCGTTGTTGGGTCTCCAATCCAACCTTTCTATAGGGTCTGTTCCCAATATTCTGCACAGGCCACTGCTTCTGGTGTTGGTGTTGCCAGATCATGTGGGGTGCATTGTGGTGCACCCCACAACAGTGGGGTGGAAATGGAAAGTGGTCGTAAGTCACCCTAGCATACTTCTCTTTGACCACTGGGCCCTCAGGCTGCAGCACTAAGAGGGGCTCTTTAGACTAGCAAAGGCTAAACATCAATAAATACTGTCCTGCAGTGCTTAAGCCTATGGCAGGGGACACGTTTTCCTTGCTTAGAGATGTTTATGTCCAACACCAAGTGCTGCTTTAATATCTGTTTCTTGACTTTCATTGGTATAATTATCATCAACCCCAGAATTACAAGCTTGAGTGGCAGAAAAGATGCTGGACTTTGCAAAATTGATGAAGAAATGGGCTGGCAGGAAATGTGAGAAGTTCACTTGTTACCATGTTTAGTTGAAGGAAGTGATGTGGCATCCATGAGGAGCTGCTCAGACAGGAAGAGAAGCAAACTCAGACAAAGGGGAAGAGTCACAACTTACAGAGGATGAGAACAGAATAAATAGCCTGTTGAATGCATGAGTCCTACTCAAGTTCACGATCCTGAAAGGCAAACCCTTACAAGCAGCCGAACCGGAGAGAACAAATCATTCTTTTCAGTCGCAACAGCTACAACCGATTGCAGCTACAAAACCAGTTGACTGATGCCAGAGACTCATGATCACAGCAGGACCAGAGCAGGGCCCAAGCTGTCTAAGTGCCAGATACTTTATGTGTGAATATCTAACTGCTCATAGGACTCATTCATACAAGACCAAACAGCTGCGGGCCTCACCACATTTACATCTCTCCTTGACTTGGCTGCCCTTCAAAAAACTCTAAAAACACACACACACACACACACGCAAAAAACAGCTAACCAAATATGATCTGGTCCACAGATTTTGTGTGTATATCTGGTCTTCAGATTTTATATGTGTATATTTAGTGTAACTATGCCAGGGCTGTGATTTTGTTGCTGAAATAATAATTATGCCATTAAAACCTTTAGCATGCAATCATGCGAGTATGTAAGTGTGTAGTTTATTCCCTATCACACGTGGGAATATACACTTTTCCGTTGTCCTTATAAGTACCTTATTCTGTCTACTTCAAGAGGTGGGTGTTATAGTTAATGCTAATAGGAAAGTGAAAATGATACAGCTTGTGTACATAGACAAGTCCTTATCTAAATAAACCCAAAATAAACTTATTCAGTGCTGTGAACTATTCAAGCTATTTCCCCTGCATCCTGGGGAGGAAGACCGATTTCTGTTTATTTAATTCTCGGGAGGTGAAGGTCTATGGAAACACATAGATGGATGAATCATGGAGTTGGTGAGGTCAGGAATAGTGTGAATGGGGAGAGTGGGAAGAGGGAATCTACTAACGGCAGAAGGAGATGAGAAGGATTCTGCCCAGGCAGAGGCATCACATTCAGACACAAGAAATTCCCTGCAAATAGGTATTTCCTTAGCGATTCATCTGAGCTGTCACTGGAAACAGGGATCATCTCAGCCAATAAAGGCTATAAATATTTTACAAGACATTAGCAAAATTGATAGGATCCTATCATTTCTCCTGAGGCCATTTAAAAAACAACAACCCACAATTATTCTAATGAAAGATTCCAGGAATCGATAGCGTCTGCTCTGGGTGAGCTTACCGAAATCACTACGAAGGGCAGCTCCGTGTGTGCTGTGGTGGCGGATGCAAGGCAAATGTTCTTAAAAAGGTTCGAATACAGGAATATACTGAACTATAGGTCAGCTTTCTTTAAGCAGCTGCCTAAGACAAATATGAATGTAAAGGCTTCTGGCACCATCAGACGAGGTGTGAACAAGGCGCCATCACTCCTGTCCGCACGGGGCTGTCCTCTGCGTATCCTTTGTGTTGTCGGGTCCCCTGAGTTTCCCCCTCTAAGTACCGTGAGACTCAGGGAAGGATCATCTCCGTCATTTGCCTTTCCCCCTCTAAGTACCGTGAGACTCAGGGAGGGATCATCTCCGTCATTTGCCCCTTCCCCTACCTGCCCAGTGGCACACGTCCTGGCTTCATCCTTAATACCCCTCTTGCTATTTCCATCTTCTTTTCTAGTTCGTTCTGGACATAGGAAGGTGGCATAATCACTCACAAATCATGGCATTGGTTATCATTTCACTACGTGTAATATCTAGTGTTTTTTTCTGAAGGATTTACTTTCAACACTGTTGAGGCTACCTTCTGCATCTCTGGCGGTTTCTCAGTTTTTACATCCTGATGTAAAGGTGGGAATCACACCCGAGTGGAAAAAATCCACAGTTTGGCCTTTCATTTGTATGTTTTCAATGGCCGGACCTTCTTGAAGGTGGAGAAGGGTGTGAGAAAAATGATGCTCTTACTGAACTATTCACAGCTTTTAAACGGGAGAAAATGCCCAGCCAAATGCTGTGAACTAAGCGTCAGGCCAGCAGTTTCAAAGACGATAACTTCAGGCTGTTTAGAGGTGTGTAGACAGAGACAGACAAATGATACCAAGTTAAAACAGGGATAAGTACTTACGGCGCACCACCAGATCCGTGCCAATCGTTGCGTGTGTCCATTGTGTCCTGCACTAAAGCGGGAGCTGAACTGGGGCACTTTCTCTCTGAACGCAACACCTGCAGAATCACCACGGCTTAGCGGCTACTTAGTGCAGCATGGAGCAGACACACAACATAGTTATTGCAGATCAACTGATGCAATGTAAATCCCTCCCCTTTTAACTCGATATCATTTCTTGGTCTGTCCCTATCCATAAAGAACTACTTTGCAGCAAATGCACTTTTTTCCCCCTTTTATCTGCTTGCGAGCTGCCCAACCTTCTCAGTATCTGGGGCAAAACTATCAGTGCGACTGGCCCCCTCCACCACAGAAATAAAAGAGCATGAGTAATATTACTGAAAGGAAAAAATGCAAGGAGCTGAAATCCCAGGGGTCTCTTGCAGTACTACATGCCCTGGAGATGCTGTGCTGTTGGGAAGAGATGGAAAGAGCCACCAAGAGGAAGCAAGGCTGCCCACTCCAAAACCTTTTAGTTTCTTAGGCAAAATGACTTATTTAGTTACACCAATGAACAAGCTCTGATTTACTGCTGAGATGAAAATCTCAAATATACTTTGTAGAAAGGGCTACCTGGATAGATGCCATCTGTGCTGTCCTGCAAGAAGCAGGGCTTTTTAATGCCGGCTCAAGTCTCCCCTTGGGTACATGAACACGTATCGCAGCAGCCCTGCCACTAAAACGACACGCGTTGCCCCTCATCAGGACAGCGCCAGGTTCACAGTACAGCTCGACAAGGGCAGGCTCAGGGAAGCAGCTGCACAACAGTGTGAGACAGCAGTGGCTTTCATTTTTAATCTACAGGCATCATTTGTGTCCAAGGCCACGTCTGTAAACTGCTTTTTATTATCTAGTCAAGTGACATTTCCTTTTACCCAGAGAGATCCAGAGAGAAATGCATGCATTATACACTCCTGTTCCTGTCCAGCACGACCCATAGCCAAGCCGTGACAACCAATTCAATTGTGGGAGTTTTATAACCTTTTCCAATTGCCGAGGTCTGAAAGTAACAGTGCTATGACCTTAAACTTGGGCTTCTACTCGCACCATAGATCAAATCACCCACTCCCTATCGGATATTTGCTGGGATCCTGTTTGTTTTTACAGGTGTTCGCTGACAATGGGAAAGAACAGAATTTACATCATCGGTGAGGTCACGTCCAAGTGCCCAAGAGGAAGCTGTTCAGCAGAACATAAATCAGATCAGCAATTGCACTGCCAACGTTCATCACAAGCCCCAGGATCCCTCAGTACCTTCAGGAATTCCCTTGCTGGATCAGATCATTTAGCGCAGTATTTCATCTTGAGAAGCAGCCTACTCAAAGTCCGCATATACTTTGAGCGCTGCAGTTTTCAGACTATGTCTTGCAAACACATCTGCCTGGGTGCAGAGCTACTCATGCTTTGACAGGGCTCTGCAGAAGTCCACCCAGGCAGGGGCATCTGCAGGACAGGCCTTCCCGCTTCTGCAAACACGGCAGAGCGCGAATGACTTTACTGACCCGAGATGTCCTACTCAAGGCAACAGATGGTCTCCTGTGCATGTATTGGCAGCCTTCAGATCAATTTGACAGTGTGACATGACAATGTATATTTATAGTGGCCAAACTCTTAGCAGGGCATGAAAAAAAGGAAGCTTTTGAAGATTTGCAAAAATGCTGCATTTTGTGGCTGGCGTCTTTGGTTGGATAAGTCATCTGGATAGAATGAAATCCTTATAAAAAACTTTTGCATGCATTACCTTTCCTGGCCTGCTCGGGTCTTTGGTTTATGTAGACGAGCAATCAATTCTTTCTGAAAAAGAAAGATTTTAGACACCGCTTTAATCCATTCTAAGCTTAGACAGCTAATCTTAGAGGAGAGGACAGTTTTACACAAACACAGAGCCAAAAAAACTAATTTGCAAGTAGATCAGGTGTTTCTGTAATTTAGTAGTATATCTAGTCCACATATAACAGCACATAAAATTAATGCATAAAAACAAGCAGCAAACATGAGAAGAATTACAGACTATTATTGGCGGACGTGCTTGTAGCAATTTAGCTTCTAAACACAAGAAATATCACCAGGCCTTTGTATTATGCTTTAATTGCTAGCACTTGGAAAGAGTCTTATACAACAGACATTTTTTGGCCCAGATTTGAATAAACTCTCAGAAAAGGAAGGACTTATTATGAAGCACTTTACATCCGTGGAATAAATGGAAGGAAAAAAGAAAAGGACCCTTTTCATATTAACACCATATTTTTCTTTTAAACTAAAGGCTTCATCTTATGACATCTTGCTTTCTCAAGTCACCATTTCAAATCCTTGTATTTATCTGTCTGAAAAAAAACTTTAGCATTGCTCCCTTCTGTTAGCTGGTACTTCTTTCTATCAAGTAGGGTGTGTGGCTCTTCGGCAGGACGTGTTCTGGTTCATACGATATACCTAACTGAATGCCTCTGCAGAAAGGGAATGCCTTTATTCAGGCAGGCAGGACCTCAGCGAGTTTTGCAGCTTCCCTATAAAGCTTTGCCGATAGGGTGTTAGAGTGGAAAAGCTGACAGGGGGAAATGCAGAACTGAGGTCTGAAAAAAAGCCAAGAGGCTGTAAAGTCTCCTCCACTGCATTTAATTGAGAATTGTAGCTACTCCCTTTGAGTTGTATTAAAAAGTGATTAATTAAAATGAACGGAAGTGTTTCTTCTCTTACTGATGCCCATACAAGTTTCAGTTAATTTTATCTTTATTTTGCTTTGCATTTAATTTCCATTCTCATTATTTATAGGCTACTACTTACAACAAAACACAACGACCATGGATCCCCCAGTGTTGTCTCATTTCTCACCTCCTCCCTATTGATGATGCCAGCCTCAGCCCCTGCCTGCTTCTCTCATCGACAGCTCTACACCTTCCTCCCCATGCTAAAGCAGGAAATGTCAGACCTGGGCTTCTCTACAAGGTCACATTTTAGTCCTTCCTCAGGTCCCTCTTCTATCTCAACGTCTCACAAGAAAGTAGCTGCCTGATTATGGCTGCTATGGTAGTCTTTTGGTATAACCTATGCCATCTTAAAAATAAAAGCCAGCCCAAGCCATGGCCAGTTACACCCTTGGCCACTTTGCCTATATGCTGTACTACTTCCCTGTATCCATGGACCCTTCCCTATATTCACTGTCCAGATTAGAAGGAAAGATGGAGGCATTGTGCTTCCTTTTCTCAATGTCCATTAACATCCAAACTAATGTGCATCTTACTCGCAAGATGCTTCTCAGACTAGAAATCACCTACTGCTAGCACCACGAGGCTCATCAGGGTAGCTTTGGTAGCCCATGCTGTGTTGCAGAACAGGCGAAGGAAAGACTGCCTTGAGACAGACACGTCAGACACTAATCTAAAAAGCAAGCAGCCTCACCGTGATCCGTTCTTCTCGTTGCTTCCTCAGCAGAGCTAGTATTTCATCTCTTCTCTTGGCCTGGGAGGAAACATATTTACCATTTCAAGTGCAAAGAAATTTAATTGAATTCAACTGAAGTTTGCAGATTCAAAATAAACCCTCCCTTTCTCAGAGCTGAAAACTAGAAGGAATGTATAATAAGAGCAGAAGAAACTGCTTAACAGACAACACATTTTGCATCTTTTTTGCCAGAATCCACAAGAGTGCAATGTTTTAAGACGTGTTTTGGGGGTGTTGGTTGTTCGTCTTAGGACACAGGCAGACAAGGTTCTTTGGGTAAATGTAATATCTTTTATTAGGCCAACTAAATAGTTGGACAAATTGTTCTTTGCAAGCTTTTAGGTACAAACACCCTTCTTCAAACAGAGGGAGCCCCCTGAAAGCTTGTAAAGAACAATTCGTCCTACCATTTATTTGGTCTAATAAATGATATCACATCTACCCAAAGACCCTTGTCTGCCTATGTTTTAAGACATGAGGTTTTGCTCCTAGGACTCTGCAGAGAGCTCTGATAAGACCAATCTTCCTTGATTTGGGATCCAGCACAGAGAGATAAACCTATTTACAAATAGTGAGCTAACAATATGCAAAACTACAAAAGTAGGAGTATTTAGGTTTTTCATCCACAACTTTAATCATATCAAAATTGCTCAGCCAGAGTCCTTGAATGGATGGCCCCTTTCATCCTGATTATATTTTTCCTGGAAACCCATTCTCTCCTAATCTATAAAAATGACTTAAAGTCAGAGTGTGAGATCCTGGTCCCACCGACATCAAGGTCAAGAGACCTGGCGGCTTCAGGGGCCGGGATTCCCCCAGAATGTCAAACCATGTAATACTTCCAGATGCTTTTTCAATGAATGCTCTTTGGTCTTCTGGCTTATGAGAAGGTAAATGAATGTCCCGTTTGCCTTCAAAACTACTCTCTCTACACCAGAGGTTCTCAACTGGATGAAACTGGATGCTTATCTTGCTGGGATCCTATGACCCCAGCTGACTTCCTGCCCTTTGGGCGGGGGGCTGGACTCGATGATCTTCCGAGGTCCCTTCCAGCCCTGATGTCTATGAAATCTATGAAAACCTGTGGCCCGCGCCACGAGCTCCACCCAGATGGGCCACAGAAAGGTTGTGGAACGAATCGAGAATATCCATACTTGTAAGGTAAGACTACTGATCTTAAAATATGAGTGGTGTGCTTTGATTTGTAAAAGAAAAAAAGTTTATTAAGTGGTCCACTGAGACCCTCAGCAATTTTCAAGTGGTCTGTGGAAAAAAAAAAAGTTTGAGAACCACCGATCTACACAGTCTCAGTTTGAAAACTAGAGTGCTTGCATGAGAAACATTGCTTCAATTACTAGTCACATCAGTTTGCCAGTACTTTTGTTTCCATACCCTGATATCAAACTACTTGCAAGTACCACACTGGACTTTTGCTAGCTGGAAACAAACAGCAGGATGGGGAAAAGCTATCTGCTGAAGCTGGAGAACAGCATATACAGTCATTCTGAAAAGTAGTTTGACAAGTACTCTGGGAAATCCCTACAACCAGTACAAGAGAAAAAACAAACCTCGGCATATGAAAAATCCCAAGGTATTCTCACTTTGTAAGTATTTTGGCATTCAAACCCAATGATTACCAAATGAAGGAAATAATCATACTTGCAAACCCCTTTCTTTAACCAGGACCCACATCATTCACCATTTTTTCAGCACTTGAATTGAGGTGGACAAAGAATCCTAAGAAATTTCATCCGCCCTGGTTAATGCAGTGGTAAAAGCACAGAAATCAGCCTCCTACAGCATTCACCAGGCCACTAATGGCAACAAGCAAGCCGAAGTTGTAGCTGTTGCAGCAGAGCAAAATGAAAAAGGATTAGCTGGCACCGGACACGTTCCAGCGGTTAAGCCATGATGCTCAGCACTGATTTAGGATTTAATACAACCAAATCTGCTAGTGGTTTTCAATGGGAAGTGAAAAAATACAGAGAGAGGAGAGAAAGAGACACTCAAAACCCTTTAACAAACCATTGAGGATATCTATATCTATATCTCTCTATAGATATAGATATATCTATGTCCACTGGAGAGCTAACCCAGGCATAAGCAGCAAAGCTCTGCATACGTTACCGTGTCCTTACAGATGCTGCGCTGACCTATGTGAGCTGTTAGACTTTTGGGGGCATAATCCATGGGTGCAGCAAACTGAGCCACTCAATTATTACTTTTCCAGTGAACCGTGAGAGGATGCATCTGCCCTGAAGACAGATCCTCAGAGGTTTCTGTGATGGGCTTGTCAAAGTCTTGCAAGAGTTTTGTAGCGGGATAATCGTCAGTACCATGGCTGAATGAATATTTGATGTGATCTACACTCCTAGCACTAATTCAGAGATAAGGAGCTGTGGAAGACAGACGGCTGAGACAAACACGGGAAGAGGAGGAAGTGGCTAGAGCAAAAAGCACTGTACAGCAATATCCTGATCTATTCGGACAGGCCAGGCAGCCTTACATTAGACACACTGATGTAGGCTGATTTCTTGGCATGGCTGTGCCTGTCATGTCTTAGTTAATCACACAATACTCTATCCTTGTGGGAATGAATGAATTATAGATAAATCCACTCCAATGAATGTTAGAAAGATACCAGCTATGTTTCTGCACATGTTACTCTAGCTTCATGTAAGCTAACTGGCTAATTAGAACAACCGTTTATAATAAATTACCCTCGGAGTTTGAGAAATTACAGCATTATAATTAACATCATTTAGCTTGCTCTTTTGAAAATACTGACTCTGTTCCCTACTCAGGGCAGAGCGCCCTTTGCAGAGCTAAAACTTGGATCCTTCGCTCTCCCCACACAGGAAGAGTGACCATGTAGTTGTGAAAAGAAAATGCTACACTAGTCTAGCAACAGCTTTATTAGATTCTCCTTCTTCCATTCGGTGTATTCATCATCATTTCCCTGGACTTACTTGATAAAGTATAAAGTTGTATAAAGTAACTGTTTCATTGGAATGAATCAGCTCTGCTTATGACTGAGTGACATGCAAAGCTGCGCAATCCTGATTTCATCTATTGTTGGAGAATTAAAAAAAAAAATGAACCGAGTAATCAGCAAAAAGGCCTGCTACTCTGTTAATCCCATTTTCAGAAGAAAGGCCTAATGGCTGCTAATGGATGAAACGCATTACAGGGTTATTAATTGGAAAGAGCAGGACTGCTGACTTGCTCCAAAGAAACTGCAGAGCTCAGCACCTTTATGCACCTACCGCAGATTGCTTTCTTCTGGCCACCTTCCCAGGCCTAGAATATAAGCTTTTCATTAAAAAAAAAAAAAAAAAAAAGACCCAAACATTTTACTAAAATGAGGAAAATATACTGTAATTACAGAGTAAGACTGGCAACCTTATCACAGTATTTAATGTTTGCCTTTGATTTAGATGCCTGGGCTCAGCTACGTGGGAAATATATGCAGTATTAATTCACCAGTCATATTGCCGGCGACTGCAAAAAAAGTTTCACTCTGCAGAATGTATCGGCATCTAGAAAGCCAAAGCCTAGTCGGCTTTTAGTCAATACATGCAAGTGGTGCGTGCTCCCATGTGACAAGTGCCTGAATAATTTTCTAATATGGCAGCATGACTGAATCGCATAATCCTGGAGTGTATAATTAACCATTTAGAAAAGGGTTATTTTAACTGATTAAAAACCCAAACGAGGGAGATGATTTGATGCAGAGTTGCTAATTGTTAACGCCTTGTATTCCAGGGGGTCTTGAGAGAACCAAGGAGCCCTGTTAAGACCCAAGGTGGGGTTGGGCCTGAATAGTGCAAAAAATACACAAGATACAGCCTCTGCTATGCGATGTCAGGAGGGCAGGTGTGTAGAGCTCAGCTGCACGGGGTCAGAAACAGCAGCAGGACCTGGGGCATCCTGCACCTTGGCTCTCCAGCATGACTTAAAGCAGTCTCAGGGATGCTCTAAGCCCCACTGGATAGGGATGACCCCCAAAGGGCTGGTTCAAAGGCAGGCTCACTGGAGCAGCGAGGTCACGAGCAGGTGGTGCTGAGCCAGCTGTGATGCCTCTGCATTATGGGAACATGTAAAGTGAATCCTTCCCTATCCATCCTTGTCCATGCCAACCCTTTCCACCAGGCAAGCAGGGGCAAAAGTTTCCTCGTTGCTTAATCCATAATATTTAGTATATTGGTTACCGCAGCATTTCCTATAACGTGCTGCCTCACCTACCTCAAATGTCCTACTCTGCATAACCTATAGTGTATCCTACATAATCCATTTGTGCTTTCAGGTGCAGAGACATTTGCATGTCACGTGCTTTTCGTGCAATTTGCAGCCTTCACACACTCTTTGAAACATAAAAGCCTATTAAAGCAGAGGTGAAAGTTTTCTAACTTGTCTGAATACTTTTAAAATGTGCCTCTAACCTTGCAGTTCGTGCTCATCTCACTTTCCCCAACTGTACTTCACCCGCTAAGTGCTACGCGTTTGATATTAGCGTTGCAAATCCCATCACGAAACAATGGTTTTACTGCAGCAGGATAATTAGTTTTTAAACTCGGATGAATGCTGCCTCAGAACTCTAAAAAAGGTGGAAGTGCTTCATTATTTGCAAATTTATGCTTTTAATAAAATGCACTATTTGTCTTCCACGCTCCCAGATTTACTGTGTAATTTCATTATCCCAGCTCCCCCCTTGAGGGGATAATCAGATAAAAAGCCTTCTACGGGGAAAATAATACTATATTTGTTTTATGGCTCCAAACAGACTTACAAACTGCATACATCTAATGCGACTGTGCAAAGTTATGTTCCCGCACATGCAGCAAGAGACATTTTTCCTTGAGATACCATGGGATTTCCTTCACGCGCAAAATGAAAGAGTTGATTTGGGATGAATACAAGCTGCCTTTTGCCACAGGCTGTTATCAGAGCAACAGCAGTGACTATATACATAAAAAAAGACATCACTATACAAATTTTACTGCTTTCACTCTGGTATCAAAGCCTTCAAATATAGCAGGAGACAAGCACGATGCTGGGAAATAATGGTGGGGACCTGGTGTGTTGAGACCACTATTAAAGACCTACATGGGCACACACATTGTCTTTACTGAAGTGAATGTGGTACTTACTTGGTGTCTTAGCAGTAACCAAGGAAAGACCTGGAATTAATTATATTTAAACATTCAAGGGACTCCATCAACCTAAATATTGCATCAGCCTTACTGGTTGCTTCTGGGTTCATTTCCGAATTCCCAAACCCCAGCACATCAAACAACCATACAACAGGGCAAGATTTCCCTCTCCAAGAACAACTACATTGAGTAGGGTTTGGAGACATTTCTGATAGCCACAGAATATGAAAAAAAAAAAAACCCAACCTGTTTTCACAAAATGTTAATGTTTGGCCATCCTGAGAGGTGCAGGATCTCCCTACCCAAACACCTACTTTCTTTACATCGCAATGTTAGCAGCTGAGCTCCAGCAGCGCAGATCTGTAGTTTATTAGAAACCTATCCTTGCTGATTTGTTGGGTATGAGGGCAGGCTCTGTTTTGTGCAGAAACAACAAAAAGCAGCCATATCCACACAGGATTGCCATTCTGCGGTCGGTGGAAAGGAGGAGGACGACACGGTATTGGTATGACCGCCCAACCAAAGGTGACAATTACTAGCAGAGTCTGGGGTATTCTGCATCCTTACATCCTCCCTTGCCATCAGATCCCATTGATATGCCTGGCACCCTCACCTCCAGCTGAGCAAAAAGGAAGAGGGGAGAGAGGGCTTCTAGCAGCAGGTGCTTAGCAAACCACAGGGCCGAGCCACAAACCACTCCTGCCACTGACTTGTGTGTGTGTGGAGCCCAGCACCCACGCAGTCTGCTTCAGGAGTGGGGCTGGGCTCTTCCCCAACCGCCAGATATATTATCATTAGAAAACAGGCTCCTGGGGTGGGAGGGAAGCTTGTGGCTGATCTAAGACACCAAACGAGTCTCTCTTCTCTGCAGAGAGCAGAACCTGTTTCCTTGGATATAACGTTGGAAGCAACGCATTTAGTCCACATATGTCCATCTTATACAGCCCACAAGCCACCATCTAGCTGAGTCTAAGCAACGTCACAGCTCCGGGCCAGAATCTTTTAGCCAATAGATTTTACCTTCTGAAGATACTTTTCTTTTTCTTCAGCTTTCTGGGCCTTCTGGGCTTCCAGGGGGATTTGTTCCAGCTCTAGATAAAACAACACACTCAAATGACTACACGGCGCAGAATCAAGCCAGTGACTACACAACACGGCACTCCTACCCGAGCACTGTAAGGGCCATCTGGACCACAGCTAGCTCACTATGAGCTCCAGTCCTCTGGGGCCCTGCTCTTCGCCCGGCTTTACAGAGGGGCAGAAAGGAGCTACAGGGTAATTTGGAGTCACAGAGTGGCCCACAAGTGCCTGGTATCAAGTATCAAGACATAGCCCTGCATCTCATGAGGCTTAATCAGGATAAGTGCAAAGTCTCGCACATAGGATGGAGCAATCCCATGCACCAGTACAGGCTGGGGACTAGCAGCAGCTCTGCAGAAAAGGACCTGGGGTGACAGTGGACAATAAGCTGGATAGGAGACAGCTACGAGCCCTTGGTGCCAAGAAGCCTAACAGCATCCTGGGCTGCACTGGTAGGAGCATTGCCAGCAGATCGAGGGCAGTGATCCTTCCCCTCTATTCAGCACTGAGGAGGCCACATCGGGAGTCCTGTGCCCAGTTTTGAGCCCCCCACTACAGAAAGGATGTGGACAAGTTGGAGATACCAGTGGAGGGCAATGAAAATGGTTTGTGGTCTGGGGGACAGGACTGGTGAGGAGAGGCGGAGGGAACTGGGCTGATTTAGTCTGCAGAAGAGAAGACCGAGGGGGATTGAATAGCAGCCTTCAGCTCCCCGCAGGGGGGTTGCAAAGAGGATGGAGCTGGACTGTTCTCAGTGGGGGCAGAGGACAGGACAAGCAGCAATGGGCTCAAGCTGCAGCAAGGGAGGTTGAGGTTGGATATTAAGGAAAACTTTCCCACTAGGAGGGTGGTGAAGCACTGGGACAGGTTACCCAGAGATGTGGTGGTCTCTCCACCCCAGGGGGTGTTTCAGACCCGGCTCCACAAGCCCTGGCTGGGAGGATGGAGCTGGGGCTGGTCCCGCTTGGAGCAGATGCCCTGCCAGCCCCAGTTCAAGTGCTCTCCCGGGCACCTGGCCACGCTCACCCAGGTGTAGCTCGGGACTCCCGCCCTCCGCAGCCGGGCACTCACCATACCGGGGCGCCGGGGCAACCGCCTTCCTCCCTGCAAGGCAAGATGGTGTTAGCTTAACTTCCTGCCCCGAGCCCCCCACCCCGGCTCCAGCCCCATCCCCAGCGCCTCCGGGGCACGCGCTCACGGGGCTCCCGGGGCGCCGCCGGGCCCAGGCGGGACTCGAGCAACGGCTGCAGGGTCACGGAGCTCCAGAAGGCCTTGGCCAGGCTGGCGTCGTGCTCCGCCGAGCCCGCGAACACCAGCGGCCCAGCCATGGCCCGGCTCCAAGCTGGGGGCCACCGTGTCGCCATGGAAGTCGCCTAGCCCGGCCTGGGCTCCGCCCCTTCTGTGGAGGCCCCTCCCCTTGGACCCTGGCTCCCCGCATGCCCGGCAGCTCTTGGTCACACTCAGGGGACACTGCCGACCCTCCAGGCCTGCCCTGGAGTCCCCAGGAATGAGATATCAACCCCCAAGGGACTGCTGAGAGTCACTTGGGGGGTAAATGATAGGCCATTCAGTAAAATAAATACAAGACGTTGAATGCGATCCATGCAACGTGCCTTTGGCCTCTTGACGGTCTCTACACCGTCATCCCTAACTGATCTACGCCGGCACATGGGCACGTTCGTGCTGTGTTGTGGGCACACTGGTGTTTTGGAAACCTCCAAGAATAGAGTCAGAGTTGGCAGCCTCGGCCCTGAGCCCCCCAGGCCGCATGTGCCAGAGCCTGCCGTGCGTTCCTGGGGCCCGGGCGCAGATTTGCCCCTGTGGGCAGCAAGTGCTGGGAGGAGCTGGCTGCCGGCAGACTCCAATGGTGCCGTAATCTCACCCAAGCAGCAGTCAGTGTCAAGGGAAAGCCTCTCACCCTCCAAGCGGAGAACAGAGGAAGGAAAAGGAGAGGAAGCCTGACTTGTGCCCTACAGAAAGACCTGCAACTTCAAGGTCTGCAGCTCGAGGATGGGCCTCTTACCTCTTTTGGCGTTTTGGTCAGTTCGGTAGCTCTTGGCTGCCAGAGAGGTTACCAGGAATCGCTGCGTGGAATTGCTCTCGTCGATCCCCGCAATCAACTCAAGACCCATCAATGAGCCGTGGGAGAAATCATCCTCGAATGGAGGGACTGCCACAGCCTCCGAGCAGCACAAAAACACTTGCTCTGCCTGATGCACACACACCTCATCCCAAATTGGGCAACGAGTGATCCTGAGTCTGTGCCCAGGAGCCTGCCCAAGCAGTCTGACTATGGCTGTGGGCACACGCTGGGCTCCGTTCGAAAGCAGCTGCCATGTCTTGTTCTGCAGACTTGGCAAGAGCGAGTAGGCAGGTTGCGCTTCCCGTCAGCACTGCCAGGCTGGCTACAAAGCCAGCATAGACAAGCCCTGAGGGTACGGATCCACACTCCATGTGGGAGCACAGGTTTCTGCCACGTGCAATGCGGGGGAATTCATGTATTGCCGCTGGAAGCGCAACTTTAGACCTCACTTGGGTGTTGCAGAGCCAGCAGCTACTCTCAGCTTTCCGCGGCTGCCAGTACAGGAGTCTGATTTAAACCAGTGAACTACAGCTGAGATGCTCCGCGTGCATTACCAACCCCATTAGCCAGCCAGCTCCTCACAAAGCTGACACTTAGCTGAACTACACGTCGGCAGCAGCAGCAGCAAACCTGTATCACGTTGGGGGATTATAAAATAAAAAATCCAGGTTTCTGATGAAGTGTCAGGCTTCCTTGAAGCAGTAAAGGAGCCAAAGGCTCACTGAAGTCAGCAAGAGGTTTAGCTGAGTGAGGAATGTCAGATCTGGCCCAGAGCAGACATGAAAATCAGGCCCCGGGGCTCCTGGCTCTCATTTCGGTGCTTCTCTGGAACAGCAGCACGGCTATCTATCTAGCCTACACCAGGTTATTGCTTCTACGGAAAAATTATTTCATGTGGCTTTTATTGGGCTTCTTCTTTCTTTCCTTTTGGAAAGTTGTTTTCCATCTGTCCATCTGCTTCAAATAAAAGTAGAAACGTTTTCATATAGCTTTGAATTTGAGAGGAGCAATTTTATTATATACAACTCTCACACACGGCTCGAGGCAAGTGAAACAACGTCATACAAAGGGAAGGGGAGAATCGAATTCACTAGTTACCGAAAGACCAGGGGGAGAACAACAGACTCGGGCTAGCAATCTCATACCGGCAGGTGTATTTATATTTAACATCGGGTAGGGGCGCAAGCAAACAACAGACTTCATAGGACCTGGGAGGTCCTGTCCTGTCCTGGGAGTGTAGCTCAGCACTGCATGCCCATGGTGAGCTTGCAAGTTTTGCTACCATCCTTCCATGTAAAGCCCCTCAATAGGGAACAAAAGCCTGCAAGGCGATTCACATGCTTGATTGTAAGCTCTTTGTGGCGGGGACTGTCCTTGTGATTTATTTTCAGACAGCGCCTAGCACAAAGCAAGCCTGGTCCTAGGTAACGCAAACAGTACATAACAACAGCCATTCCCCTGAAAGGATTTCAAGCTGGATTCCAGTGTCTCTGCAGCAGGTGTAAATGGGGAGCAACGCTCGTGAACTGGAAGAGGTGCAAGGTAGCAGCGAGATCAGAATCCGACCGTACGGGACTGTACACCAGCAGACGCGCTGCCTTCTGTTTTGCGTTTTCCTTCTGCAGCCAAATGTTGCAACGCGTCTTCAGATGCAAGCACGTGCCTCCCTTTTGGGAGGGATGAAACAGCTGCGCCACGTTGGCTTGACGGGGAGATTGACCGCACGTGCGTGGTTAGAGGCAAATCCAGTCTGCGCTGTTGGCTCCGCTCTGGCCACGCACTGCGACGCTGGTCAAGCTGCCATCCGTGCGGCTAAATCCCTTCCGTATTCCCAGCTTCCAGCTAGCTAGGTGCAAGACAGACCTTTTTACCTGGCTGTGTGGTTAGTGATTGTTGCCTTTTGCAATCAGCTAACTACACTGCCTAGCAACTAGGCTGAGGTACAAGATAGCTCTGTTCCCACATTTTGTAATTGTTTTTTTAACTAAGAGTGGGTCTTGTAATTAAAATATGGCACCAGGTAGTACTAGGAAGCTGAGCTGAGCTTTCCTCCTTATTAATCCTTAGAAGTTCAGCAAAGTAGATCGGATGGCACATTGCTAAGGTGGTAAAGGCACCTACACTTTTTTTTTTTTAAAGTGTATTCAAGAGTATGTATATCCTTTAATATTATTTAGTTTATTAAATAAAAAAAAATGTCTGCATGGAAACAATCTTCCTGTTAACACACAAAGAAAAAGAAACTGCACAAAAGGAGTCCAGCACAAATGTTCAGGGCTTCAAGACAATCTTTAAGGTCAAACGAACCGGACTCGAATTCTTTGCTCTTAGGATGGTCCTTGGCCCAGGCTGAGAGCACAAAGGACCTGAAGTATGTCTGAAGCATTTTCATTAAGCCAAAAACACTGAACACGAGTGACATCTTTGCTCCACTAAAACCAATGGGAATTTTTCCATCCTTTGCTGGACAATGGACATTTCAGAAAATTAAGCGGCAAAAACCCCCACAAATGCCCATTTCAAGCCGGGCACCAGGCAGTCACCACGCTGGAACCGGAAAGCAAGGAATTCTGTGCCTTGTTTTGATGGCAGTGAAGTTAGTGATTGCCAAGGGACTGACACAATCAGCTAACTACACTGCCTACAAACCAAACACTACTTCGGTGACGGGAGATCAGCAGCCAGACCTAGCAAAAGAAAAACATCTCTAATCATTATTCAGTCACTTGCTGAATTCTGTTCAGTGCTCCTGCAATGCAAACAGTTGCACCTTTTTAGGATTATATTGCTAATCACATTTGGCCCCCCAAAATTACACCGGGAATAAGTTAGTGTTGATAAGTCCAACATGCAGTTGGTACAACATGTGGATACACGTAGGAGGCCAACAGAATCAGTGGAATATCATCCACAGGAGAATATACAAGGTGGAAGGTACAGACAATAAGGGCCAGATCCCAAGCAACCTTGTAGGCATGTCCTCTTCCCTTAAATTTAGGTGCCTGTCCTAGGAGGCTGATGCAAATGGCGAGGATTTGGCCCTTAGGCCTTCCTATACAATGGCCTCAGTGATTTTTATGTGCAATCCAGATGTGTCAGCAGAGGGGGCCTACAGCCAGGCAGAAGGAAATGCTAGGTATAGGGCTGTGTCTGAACTCCTGCTCCCTCCAATTCAGGGGTGCAAAGGATGTACTTTCATCATCTGGGGACAGAGCCTGCTCCGAGGGACAGTGTCTTTCTGAGTCAGGTGTGCATAAAGCAGGGGCAGCACTTCCGGTGCATGTTTGAGTGCAGGTATGAGTGGGGCAGGGCAGGGAAGGGGGTCTCCTTCTACCCAACAGCCCTCTCTGCCCAAGAAGCCCAACTCATCCTGTAGAGACTCAGACCCACATCTCTTACTTCCCGGCAAGATGGTCTGACCCCCAGGTTGGCCAATTGGGCATCAAGAAAACAAGGTTCCCATAACGGAAGGGAGTGTGATTGTAGCCCAGTGGTTAGGGCACTCCCCTAGGACAGGTTCTGCTCCCTTCTGCCAGGGCTGGCAAAATTTGGGCTCCTCCAAACACTGATCTGCATTGCAACAGAGTTTAGACAGGAGGCTGGTCTAGATTGCTTCTGAGCCTGTGCGTGGTTGATCTTGGGTTGCTCTTTATGACTTAAGGGCTTACTTTCTACTTAAACCCTGTTTAAGGAACTACAAAGTCAATGCAGACCTGGCCTGAAAAGCCTGATTGCAAAACCCTTACACGTGTTGGTCAATCTATGACTCTAAGGGGAGTGCATGCACCCACAGTGGGAGAAAGCCTCAAAAGTGGGGCCAAGATGAAATGTTTGAATGCAATACCAGCCTACATGCTTCTGACAAAGAGGTAGTAAATTCTTATAAATCAATGGTTTGTAGCCATCCTTGTATTTCTGCTGGGACCTGCGGAGTTAATAAAGCTGGCTCGATGTATTCAGATTGTATAGTTCCTTGTTAAGGGCTCTTAGATCACATTCTCAATTGCAGTACTTATGTCTTTTTTTAATATTGGCAGAACTGCTGCAGTTTTTACTTTGCCAAGTCTCTAAACTTCCTAGAACCTCTACTGATCTCCCCACTTCTCTAAAACATTGCAAAAACAGAGACTGTACTTGAAGTAAAACCTCAGGCTTCAAAGACTTCATTAAAACACCACATTTTGTAGCAGAGCAGGAAGGATCTTAAATAATTAAAACTAAATTATGCTCATCAAATAAATGAACAAATTTTATGCAAAGTGCATGAGGCGGGGTACCTTGGCTGATTGCACACGCATTTGCTCATGCCTGTTCATTTTCCTAGGTTGCTAATTTCTGCAACCAGTAATTTATAATGTGTTCCTTGATTTGTAATGCAATTTCCACGCAACCCATACTCTATTTGTGCTGCACATATAAAGGCCATATTTAAAAGGTATCCTAGTAGGCTGTGCCTTGCATCTTATAGAGATCTATACAGCTAACAACGCAGTAAAAGATATTAGGTCTCTGACTCTTCCTAATTTTACAGTAAGACAAGACAGAGCCAGGGGAATTACACCAGGCACGATTTGGCCCACCAAGGGTGAACCTTGACAAGTTATCACCCCTAAACGCGTCAGACTCGTATGGAGCTTACCTTGCAGTAATCCTGATGTTGAGGCTTGCATTTCTAACACAATACTTCTTGGAAGCATTTCAAAGGCTTGCACCGGGAGGAAAAGATGTATTGGTCAGTCCTACTTTATTTCCCCTTTTAAATTTCTCTCCCTTTTTCAGCCAGCCGTCCATCCTCAGTCTTGTGAAGGCCAGTTGAAGGTCTTGGGATGACCCCGAAGCCAGAACGTCCTGTCTCTACCTTTGCATCTCCCAGGCTAGACTGTCCGCAGCCGTGGTTGTGGGTCAGCCCCAGGCCTGCACCTTTGTATACGCTCTGTTGTCATGGCCACTCAGGTGGGGCTCCCGAGTGGAGGATAGGTCGCTGCTTGGAAATGGATGGCTTGAGTTTACAGCAAGAGGTTTTATTGTGCAAGGAGTTTCCATGGATAA